CAAAAGCACTGAAGTTTGCATCTTCTCCTGGAACGTTCCTCTTCCAAACTAAGAGACACAGCCAAGGCATAGCATATTTCCACAGACGCCTCCTCGCTGACATCCACACTCTATGCTGGTTCCTTTTCCGGGCCATGCTATTCAGCCATGCCAAATTTCCCTACAAAAACGTCTTTAAGCATGCTCCACTGCTCAGTAGTCTATAATGGCTCCCCACTATAGCAAGATCAGATTACTTAAACTGAGTTTCAATGCCTTCTCAAATCTGGACTCATTTTACCTCCTGAGTGCTCAATACTCTTCAAAATGGCCTTCCATCATTAGTCCAGCTTGGCTTGCCACAGTCCTGCTCATTCTCACCATAGTGCTCCTCCCTAAACACACTCCTCCCTCTCTGCCCTTCCCAATCTACCTATCTTGCTGTGTCAACTTATACATCTGCCTTTCATTCCTTCACTCTGGGCCCAGATTAGAAAAATGTGACTATCGTCATGCCAGACCAAAGTCTCTCTGCAGTACCATTAAATCAACCACCTACTCACCATGAGACCACAATTCACACTATGATCTAATCTCATTTTGGGCCTGAGGTAGCTTGAGGAATAACCCATATCTTAGTCTCTGAACTAGTGTCTCAGTTCAGACTACAGCTCATCGGAACCTGATTTATCATAAAGTCCCATAACACAATTTGCCTGCAGTAATCAGCACTCTTCGTACTGCTTTATTGAAGGTGAAGTCCTCACTTAAGCAAATGTATTCAGCCTCGCAATGCTTCATGCCTACCACAATCATAGCTAAACACAATTTCCCACTGCAGTACATTTGCTAATTCCTGCTCATCCCTCAGCTCACTCCCTCCAGGAGGCTCCTAACACATGGTAAGTGAGCTCAATAAATATCTGTTAAGATGAAGTAGACAGACAAGCAGAGAAGATGACAAACAGCAAAAAATTCATTTCCGTGGGGTAAATCAGAGTCAGTAATACCTTTAAGGTCATGCAGTTTAGGAGGCAGACAGACATAAGCTTCAAGATAGAAGTGAAAATCAAGGCTTCACCTACCTGCACAGGGCCAGAGATGGTCTCGGCATCAATGTTGCTGTTACAGGCGGGGTAATCATACCAGAATATTTCCTGCACATCGGGCTTCCGAACCAATAAAATATGTTTAAAA